CAATCCAACCCTACTTCCTAATTCCCCCCTCACCTGCACTCAATCAAACATCATCTATCCCTTTCCTAACTCATGTATACATGTTGTAAATGCTTTCATGTTAACTGCTTTCTAGATCTCAGCGTGCTGAAGCAACAACAACAACAAATCGGACGTAAATACAAAACGTTCTGTTTCCGGTAGTAATTAATAATATGAAATTTTTCTGTGTAGATATCAGTCCTCATCTTCCAATACTTAGGACAATTAATGCTCTCAATAGTGATTTTCGTACTACAACAATTCATTCAATTTTATTTTTTGCTAAGACAAATAGATACAAAAATATATATCATTGTTTTCTTCTTTTAAATATATTTCATTTAAAACATATTGCAATTAAATAAATAATTTAAAAACAGTATTGAAAATAAACTCATTATTTAAAATCTGGACTTAAAATAGAAAATTTACAAGGAATAAATAGTAATATAGATACTATTATATATATATGTATATATATAGAAATTTGTACATACATATTATTAAAAATGACAACTATTGAAAAAGACTTCTATTAAGGTTCATTTCGGCAAATAATTGATATTCGACGTCCCTTATGTATCGGCTGGCCATGAAATTTGGAGAACTCATTGGAGAGAATTTCATGTGTAAAATTATAGCGGGAAGAGTGACTAAAATATAAACAATTATTTTGAATTTCTTTTAGGTAATATAGCGCAGGTTACCTCATAATATACAGCGATCTTCTGGGTAACAATACATCAGCATAAAAATTATTTTCTATTGTTGCCTTTGGTTGGTTGCGATAGGAATCATCTGTACTTTCAGTTTGGGTAGCTGTTTTAGTTTTATCGCAGTCGGTAGATTCTGAATCCTGTACTGTTTGCCTATATTTTGTTTCATCAACGCGTATCAAACGCATTACACAATTGGAGAGCAAACTCATACCAGAGATTGTTGTGCCACAGTACTGAAATTTGAAAATAGTTTAATAATTAAAAATACTATATTAATATGCATTATTATATATTCTACGGCTGTTGTTGATAGTTTTATAGTACCGACAAAAATTATAACAAGTTTTCTTATAGCAAAAAGACAATAATTTATTTTTTAATAAACTATACTTTACCCTCGTACTATCAACATGCGGTTTGATCACACCTTTCTCTGCTAAATCCAAGATGTGCACATATGGCATTATGGCACCATCGAAAGCTACTTGACGTACTCGTTCTAGTATTTGACGATTATGTGGGTACCACTGCTTGCGTTCGGTTTCACGAAAACCATGTATAGCCTGTAAATTTTATAATTCATATCAATTTTTTTAATGACATAAGAAATTCGTATATAATTAAATACTTTTAAATTTTAAGGAGAAAAAAAACGATTCCCTTTAGCGTGTCATAACTTTAATTCTATTTACACAAACAGTTGTATCACAATAAACTATGATACAAGATAAAAAAATGTAGTTCTGTGAAAAAACTTTATTACTTACAGCCACTTTTTAAACACCTCAGCGCTAAGAACAGAAACTTGATCTACAGCTATATAATAACACCGGCAATTCTCTACGGGTCTGTCGCGTACAGTAAAGCTGCCAACTCTACTATCCAAAAGCTACAAGTTGTTCAAATTCAGGCTCTCTGAAGACTCTTCAAAGTGCCATGGCACATCAGCAAGAATGTAATGCTAAGAGACCTCAGAATAGTGCTAAGACCCCCTCAAAAAATACTTAAAATACAGATCCCTAAAACCATACACGAAAACTGACATTCTGCCACACATAGCACTGTGTAATCTCAGAGCAGTCACTAGACGTACGGGGCGGTATATGAATCTTAGATCAGTCATCAAATAATTAGCAAAGCTTTTGTGGAATATATAAATAAGTCAAAGAAAAGGGAGGGACTCTGTAGAAACCTCCTTAGCTAAGAAAGAGTAAAAATGCTCAGTTGCAATAACTCGGATAAACCTCAACATAGGTAAGAACATAAGAATAAGCTATGAAATAGAGTTCCTCTTAGGTGTGGACCTAATTTTATCTATGCCACCAACGGCAACATACTAGATTCCATTATCACGTCAAATTTATTCTTTATGTATTTGTGTTGAAAAACTCTTGGTAACTCTGGTAATTACAAGGAAATGGTGTATGATAGAAGAAAAATTAGTTAAAAAAAATCGTAAAAATAATTCGAAAATAAGACGATACTTTACAAATGTTTTTATTTTAAGAAGTGTGAGGTTTTCCGCAAAAAATTATTGAAAATATTTCCAAAAAAAACATATTGACTTAAGAATGTAATTTGTGAATATATTTATATATAAAAGCTAATAGATAATATATATCAAAGTAAACGATACTTAATGAACTAAAAACTGATGTGTTGGAGTTTTTTCATCCAACGTTTTTTTAGGTTGAAAGGGTGGAACTTGAATTTTGCCTATGTCGACTTTATGTACCTTGATTCATAAAGTCATAAGGCTTATGTTCAAAGTTTCAATCGATTAACTCAGAAACCGAGAGACTAGTCTTTATATAAACAAGCGACCATTCAACCGGACATGATAACTCAATCGATTCATCGTCTAACGTTCATCAGTAATTATTATAAAATATTTGGTATCGTTGTTTATTTTCCCGGGTTATAAATAGTTTGTCAAGTAAGTACTCCTCTCATTATATATATTTAAAGGCTATTAGCAACATTCCTTTTATGAAAATAATTAAATATTTTAAATTTAACTCAATTAAAATTTATGTTTAATTAAAATATATTTTATTTCTCTTACATCATCCCAATGGTCAAATTCATAATGCAACCGTTTCATATATGGTTCAATTTCTTCAAATAGTTTGGACTCCTCCTCTTCGGTAATAAAATCTTTAATGATTCGCAAGTCTTTAACGAAATTCTTCTGCTCATCAGTCGGCCATTTACCATTAAATTCTATTAGATTATCAACTGAAAAATAAAATTATTATATTTTATTAAAATATTTTTCTATTATGTATATAATATTATAAACTATATTTCTGCTATATATGAATTTCTCATTTAAATTCTCTTATTTTTTTTACATTATATTAATTTTTTATTTATATGAAATAAATATTATTTATTTTTTATATTAATATTTTTTTTTAATTTTATTAATTAATATTTTTTTCTTTTTCGTTTTTAAAATTTTAAAAGTTTTTTCCTTCATGAATAAAATAATAAAACAAAAATAAAATAAAAACAAAAAGGTTTTTAACTTCTCATCAACATAATAGGGTAAAGTATAAAGTATTGGTTTAATTTACAATTTATTAAATAAGAATTTATATTTATTATAAAATGTTTAATTATTTTAGAATTCTTTTTAAAAGTATTTACCGCCATCTAACAATTTAAATAAATTTAAAGTGGTTGAGGAATTGAATAGTGGAGAATTCGTCCATATGCCCAAAATACCGTAAAATGACAAGCGAAGACCGTGTGCTTATGTATCACAGACCGTTTGCAAAGACCGTATTAATAAAGACACATCACATCTCGTATGAAATCTTTAATACACTTTGAGGCTTTCAAGATCCATTGTAGGGTAGTTGGAGAAGTAGTTGCTTAAAGATGATGTATAATTTAAACCCCAAAACTTAACAATATAACAGAATCACTAATAAAACTCCAAATTGATGACCAAAATTCGGTTTAATTTAGCACATAGTCTTTTTCATTAAAAGAAACATTAACTCTAATCTAACATTTCTCTCACAATTTGTTTGTAGACGTCAAAGTAGACTTCAGTTGCGGTACTTTTTGCTTAGAGTAAAAATAATTAAAATGATTTTCCCTAGTAAAATTTGTTTAGGTTCACAAACAGGTAATAGTTGAGAAATATTATATCCGAAAATTAGAGATATAATAGGGATATTCTGTTTTTCTCAAATTAAAAGATAAGTAAAATAGCATGCATATATCTAGTAATGCTCAACCCATTTCTAACTAATATCAACCTTTTCGATGAATTTGATCTTAGCTGCTTACAGACTAGTATCTGAAGCAAAGTGAGATCAATCTTTCATTCGTGGATATATGCAACATAATCCTTTAATTTGCACTGCAACAGCTTTAGACTGTGTTCTAAAACATCAACGCTGTGTTATTTAGATATACGATAATCAAAAGTAGTACCACTTTAAACATACGATTTGCATAATTAATTAATTTATCAGGCACTCGGCTTTATCAAGTTCAAATGACTTTATGGACTTTTTTAATGTTTTCTACACTAACCAACAATTTCGCAAGAATAAAACGTCTAACTTTATCGGTTATGTACCATCAAGTTAAAATTTAGCAAAAACCCATGCAACAAATGATTTTGGGCAGCCCCCTTGCCCGCCATAATCGCCCAACCCGTGCAATGTGGAAATACTTATAAAATATTCTCCGATATCGTCCTTCATTTGCTTGATAGAAATGCTGTGAGAGAAAAGAGTAAGGAGTAAGTAACGGATGATATGGGAAAACCAAGCAATCCCATACTATATTGCTTTCATCCGCAAACGCCTCTCCTCCGTCGCTGATAATTCTGTCTTTAAGCAATAGCTTAAAAATTTTTCAAGAAAATAGTACGTTGTAGGTAAATTTTTTGAATATCAGAGTTTTACTGCCTGATGACTTGCTTGTAGATAAGCTATCTGTTATTCCGGTTTAACATTTTACTTTTGAAGAGTGTTGAAGCTGATGCAGAGTAAATTTGTGAATGGATTTCGTTTTTTGTTTTGATGTGGTGTTTTCAAAACACATTTTGTAGAAGATAGTTAAGATCAATTTATTGTATCACTCCCCTTAATTCTGGCATTATTAACTATTAACACTTATAATTTGATGACGTTTACGAGTGATAAAAATTGCTCATTAAGTTTGATTTTCCATTTCTGAAAGTTATTAACAAGATCACCAATATCCACTTGCAAAGAGTTCGAAATTTTAATTGAATCTAAATCAAAATACAAAATAAATGCATTATCAGGTAAAAAATTTGGTTCCGTTTTACATTTCAGTAAAGAGATAATGACAGTGTTAAGCTCCTTCTTATTCAAAATAACGCCTATAATATAAACAAAATGAACTAGACATGTATTAGTTTACACTATTCGTCCCATTCACTTAAATAAATATTATGCATACAAACAAATTCCTATTGTTTACAAAACAACAACATTGTTGTTGCAAATTTGTTATTTTATCAAAGATGAAAACAAAAGTAGTTGCTGTAGCTGTACAGAAACTTTCAAATACTCAAGTAAAAATGAAGATATTATAGCTCATAAAGACACCTGACTATGTTACTACTGAATATCCAATTATTTATACACTGATATGAAAATCATGTTCTTGTTTTGGGAGACTTCTAATCTTTTAAATGATACACACAAATTACGTAAAGTATTAAAATATTATTCAAAAGACATAACTTAATAGATTCTACTTAGTCCATCAAAAATCAAACTATAGAACCAATATTTTATATACTTTAGGGGCGCGAGAGAATGAAAATGTTTACATGAACCCTGGATCCAGGTAAAGGAACCTTGCTGACATATAACCCTTATAAGGCATATATCAATAGTGCTCAAATTAATCTGTACATTAATGAAACGAACACATAGGAAAAGTCGTAAGGCGTAGACTGTGGGTTTCAAGAACGGCAGGGTCTACATCAAGAAACCACTTACCCACGCAAATGACGAGTCGCTGTTGTACTAACATAAGTCATAACATAAATGGATATTAAAAAACTGACACGTGTTTAAATTGTTGCATTTGAATGTTGTTCAATCCTTAAGGCTGTAATAAAAAATTTACCTGACGAATTACTTATATTTCCAACACTAGCATTGGACAGATATTTACTTTTATCAATGCATGCGGCTGGTTCTAACGTTACCATTCTTCTACTCACAATTATGAGGAATGTGGAATTGAAACGACTTTCTTAGCTAATTGAGAGGGATTTTTTTCTTCTTCCACCCAACCTAACAGAACTCATTTGAACTCTCATTTTGTGAAGATTTAAAAATATCTCTCCATAATCTTTCATTACTTATGGCGTCGGCAATTGTTAAATCTAGACTCCCAATGTTCCTCTGGGAACGAAATGAAATGAAGAAAAAATGTAGATTCAATCTAAATTTACTCTTCATCTATCAAATTTTGTTGCTCAATCGAACATTTTTAGAGTAATCTAACATTTTTGTAATAGTGTTAGTAGACATGTATATTTTTCATAAATACATATATCGAATCAAATCACTCTTTATTTGTAGAGTCATATAAAGCAGCTGTTAATGTTCGATTAATCTTACTGACAAAATATCTAGAGTATCATAAACTTATCTCGAGTATTATACATTTCGCTCGAGATTTACCAATCGAAACTGAAAATTGCACTAAAAGTTAATCTTGATTGAAAAAATGACCTCAGATCTACCAATCGGAAATGCCATTAGATCCCACCAGCTCATTTTTCGCTCCAGTTTCCTTCTTTATCATATAAATGTTTAATTAAAATACCATAGAAACTGTTTTGAAAATTGTTGGTGCAACCATATAAGTTAAAGATTTTATTTTAATTTTATGTGATTTTGACCACTGTGCGGTATTAAATTCGTAGAGTTTTGTGTGATCAAAATTATCACTTCACTGTTATTTATTTATTGTTAAGTGTTTTAAACATTTTCTTTGAAGTCTTACATAAAATTTCGCAACTTCAAAACCAACCATACCGTATTATTTACTACTAACTGATTTTGGCTGATTTATTGAGTGTTAGGAGCAGATGTGTGAGATACAATCAATATGGAGCAGAGCACTGCGCTGATTTCCTACTGCTTCTGACACTTTTACTTTTAAACAAGTTTAAAAATATTTATTACTGCCGCTTTCTTTCACTTATTTTTTTTTCTTTTTTTTTTTTGTTGATTTGTGTTTTGTTTATATGCGGCATTTTTTTTATTTTTTCTTTTTCGCATTTTGTTACATCAAGACAGCATCTTTTAGTATGACAAATCATCTCGTTTCTCATTTATTCACTTAATGTGGAAGCAAAACGTGATTAGTATTTCGTACTCTCATTGTATTTAATGAATTGATTTCATAAATCAATTTATTATTTGGCTTTGTTTTCCGTCTAAGTTATTATCTAAGTTACTATTGATTCGTATTTATGGCTTCGGAGATGATTATCAAACTACATATAGCTAAAGTAAAATACGTATCAGATTATTTTTCGATATCCACATTTTGGATTATATTTCATATTATAATGAAGATTTACAACCACATATGTTGGCTTTAAAAATCTTATTGAAAAAACAAAGGTTTGTATGATACACTAATAGAAGAACAAGCTCCATATATACCGTCTCTACACAGCAGACTATTGTCTAAACCTAATTTCCTGAGTTCAACTTTTTAGAATGGTGATGAGATTGTTTTATGTAAATATAAGATAATCTCAGCATATTAGTTTTCACTTTGAGAAGATAAATATCCTTCACACAAAGCTATTGAAAATTTGTTATCAAGAATCGATAAAAAAACTTTAGTTGGGTATTTATGGAAAGAACAAAAATCTTATATTTTATCCTTATTTGTATCTTAACAAATCGGAAAAATTTTAGATTCTGATATATCTTACCAAATCTGAACATTTTTGGTTCTGATATACCTTAACAAATCCAGAAATATTGGGTACTAATATATCTTATAAATCGTTCAAATCTTGAATTCTGATACATTTCAACAAATTAGAAATAATTTAGATTCTAATATATCTCAACAAGTCGGAAAAATATTGGGTCCTAATAAATCTCAACAAATCAGAACAATTTTGGGTTGTGATATATCTTAACAAATTGGAAAAATATTGGGTTCTGATATATCTTACAAATCGAAAAATTTTAAATTCTGATATATCTCAACAAATCGGAAAAAATTTACATTCTGATATCTCTTAACAAATCAGAAAATTTCTGGTTCTGATATTTCTTAATAAATATAGATAGACTAGAAAAATTGAGTTCTAATATATCTTAACAAATCGGTTCAAATTTTGAATCCTGAAACATTTTAACATATCAGAAATAATTTAGATTCTAATATATCTCAACAAGTCGGAAAAATATTGAGCTCTAATAAATCTCAACAAAATGGAAAAATGTTGTGTTCTAATAAATCTTAACAAATCGGAAAATGTTGGGTTGTGATATATCTCAAAAAATCGGAAAAAATTTAGATTCTGATATCTCTTAACAAATCAGAAAATTTTTGATTGTGAAAAATCTTAATAAATCAGAAGTATGTTATTTTAGATAGTGATATATAATAACTAATCGGAAAAACATTAGATTCTGATATATCTTAACAAATTAAAAAGAATTTCGATTCTGACATATCTTAACAAATTGGCAAAATTTTGAATTCTGATATATCGTAACAAATCGCATAAATATTTATTTTGGTATACACTAACAAATCTATAAAATACTGGGTCCTGATATATCTTAACAAATCAGAAAAATTCAAAATACTGATATATCATATGATGCAATTTGCAACTACGTCTTATATATTTCTATCAGAGCATTATAAATGGATTATAAGTGGAATTTTCAAATAAATGAGTAACGAACATGGACACATAATATATCAGGTATTATGGTTTTACTGATTATAATAATTTATCCAACAAATATATTCGGATTTAAGAAAATTATAATTTGTTAAGCAATTTACCCTTATTAAATTGGGAAAATATATTAAATAATCCAGATGGTTTTCAAAAAGACGGAATTGAGTTCTACTATAAATAGACAAAGTGTGTTAAAAGTATTCGATATAACTATTATAATTAATTATAATGAATTTTTCATTATATACATAATAAAATAATTTTGTATATATATTATCATATGAAATTGATTTTAATCATATAATACAAATATGGTATACAAATATTTTGAAGAACCCTCTTGGTAAAAAATGATTAACAGGCTTAATGAATTTCAAAATATAAACTTGATCTTATAGATTGATCTTAAGATCTATAGATCTTATTGATCGATATAGATTGATCTACTTATCCTAATTCTTCAACACTATAAGCGATAACCGTACAGACCAGCATTTCTTCGTATGATTAATAAGATTTTTTAAACTTTCTACATCGTTCTTCAAGCACTGTCTGTTTTTTCCAATTCTATATTCTCATTGTTCCTAAATCAACTTTTTGTTGTGTTTGCCTTGGATTCACTGATCATCTCTAAGACATAACCAACTTAAATTTATTTAATGCTTAGTTTCTCATTTCAATCATCTCAGTATTATAATATTTTTTTAGAATAGAACTGTCGTATAACAATGGACCTACTTCTTATATCATGTTGCCACTATTTCTGAAACTACTTATGTTAATGAAATTAAGATTTGGTCGTTTCCATTGGCATAAACTGATTTATGCATGTGATTTAGCTTGTTTGTTTACATTTTATATGTACAACATATGACAAATAGTTCAAATTTTGGTGTTTTTCCTTGTGGGAAATTTATTTTTCTGGGTTGCATTCACCATTTTTTGCCTCAAATCATTTCATTTATTTATAATGAGCTTATTTAGCGGCCATAATGGACAAAACTGAAAATAGAATTAAATCAGACAAGTAGGTGTTTTGCTATTAGTGTCCAAAAGAGCTATTGCAAATAGCTAATAGGACTGATACCTACCAATTTATCATTTAAACTTATAGTTTTATCTAATAGCAGTCCTTAAAACCGCTCTATTGTAAATAAAGGATTAAATGATAAAAAAATAATAAATAAAGGAATTTATTGTGACAATTAAATTTCCGTTCCCAAAGTTAAACTTGCTCATGTAATAAAATATTTTAAGCAATTTTTTTATAATACATACCCACTGTAGTGTCTACTCTCTGGAGTTAATGTAATTGTTGGTTTATTGTATAAGCAGTTAAAGCCGCGTAGCGGAAGGCGAAGTTATTTAAACTTCAGTAGGACGGAAATTTAGTTAGTCATTCGCTCGCGAGTGCGACGCGCAAGTCATCTGAAAGCAACTGTCTCGAGATCTGTGCACTGGAAACACTCGCGTTGAGTATTTACATAAATAAATAAACAAACCTTATAACTAAATCGTAAAAGTTTTTCTAAATAATTTCTAAAACAAACAATATAAAAAATAAAATAAGAAAGACATAATTGCGAAAATGGATAGCGACACATTTCGTGAATTTGGAAAGGCTGCAGTGGATTTTATAGCGGATTACATGGATTCAATACGTGACTGGTATTAATATAGATTAAATAAAACTAAAAGGCAACCATGTATAATTAATTTTTGGTTTGCTTATATATAGCGATGTCTTATCTTCAGTCGCTCCTGGCTATTTGTTTGATTTGTTGCCCAAGGAAATTCCAGAAAAGCCAGAAGACTATAAAACAATTCTGAAGGACATACATGACGTTATAAAACCAGGAATAACACATTGGCAATCACCAAATATGCACGCTTTTTATCCAACAGCGTCAAGCTTTCCATCTATAGTCGGAGAAATGTTAAGCGCAGGCTTTGGAGTTATTGGCTTCAATTGGGTATGAAGTGTTTTAAGATTTTTCCAGAAATTCCAGAAAATCCAGAAATTCCTTGTTCTTCTCTACTTGAGTTAGTGTCTAAAGCAGTTTACTCATTAGTGTCTGTAATCATTTAAACAAATTGCTGATTTTATAATATTGACTATAAAATTTGCCGTGTTTTGCAAAGTGAAAGTATCTTATTATTTATTACGAAATGAAATCAATAGTTCACACTTTTTTCATATTTACTTTACATAAAAGCTGCAAATGTATCTTATATTTTCACATTAGTTTCTTGCTTTT